TGACTCCTTGAAGACAGCCAATGCTCTCTTCTTCCTCAACATCTCCACCACTGAGACAGGTACGAAACAAGTGACAGTGAAAGATCCAGTCCCAATGCTGTTTAACATCATGGCACATGTCTGAAGGTCGTAGTTGCTGGCATATCGTCTCCTGAACTTCTCCACATCCTCTAGTGTTGCAGTTCGGGGCCAGTCAAACTTGACTACCATCTTCCTGAAGCCAGGTGGAGGATCTTCATTGAGCAGCCGAGGGTCAGCCTCAGAGAACAGAACTAATGTCGTACGTTTTTTAAACTCTTCCAGATCTTTCTTGTAGGCGGTCATCTCACTAGCAGTCGTGTTGAAATCCTCATGTTCCTTAGTCAGTTCTCCAATCAGGTGGTAGAGCAGATCAGGTGCGAGGTAGTTCCAGTAGAAGTTGAAAGATCCAAACAGCTCAAGATGGTCTTCGCACTGCCGAATGTTGGTGAGAATGTAGACAACCGTTAGGACGGCAACACAGCACTTCTGTAGGCCTTTGATTGCAAGGTCCTTTAGAGCGTTGAACCTCTCGTGAAGGCTTTCTATTTCAGTCTCCACTGCTGTAACTATTATTAGAAGAGTTACAGAGATAACTAGCTACAACCCAAGGTACAGTTTACTCTCACTATTAGCAGGGTTCAGTTGAGGTGGTGGCTTTGATTTGACCTCATCATCATCACCAGCAGTAGTGTTGGCTGCAGACTCTTTGGTGTCTGAGAGAATAGAGACATGACTAACTAAAAACCAGTAAGAGAGCTATTAGTGGCATTGATGGTGACATACCAGTAGCCTCAGGCACCACGTCACGTGTTGCGGTAGAGTCTGGGAAATGAGTTGCTTCCACCCTCGCAGCTAGTGCTGGTAGATTGACAGAAGGACTCCTGAGAGCTTCCACCATGTCGGTCTGGGCTGGATTTGATTCGTGAAGGCAAGAAGAATGTGCAGCAGACTCTCTTTGGGATCCTGGTATTGGCGGTGAATCGCCTCCACCTCGTGTGGCGGCAGTAGCTGGAGCCCGAGCACTTTGGAGTGGTTCTGCGCCTCCACAAGCTCGTCCAAAATTCCCGAGACGTCGTCTGATTTCAACGTCTCGTCGACCGCTGGGGCTATAGATTTGATAATGAGGGAATTGTATAATCCACGTACACTATAAACCATTCCAAAGTCCATTAAATCAAAATCCAATATCCAGGTCCAGGGTTACATGTAAAGGCTAATACTCGTACAATGGCTTAGCAGCTTTTTCAAGTTCAGAAACACAGGCTCAACCCCCTGCTATCACTTGGGGATTTTCGGCCCCAGGACAGAGGGTCCCCACTTTGGTTTTTGCGAGGAGGGCCCCCAGGATTTCTGCGGGGAGGCAGCCGGGGGAGCAGTTGTCGTCTGGGCCGCTGGGGGGTTTCCTCCTCCGGGATTTTTGGCCCCCAGGGTGGGGAATTCCTCAACTGAGGGGCCGGACCAGGGAGCGTCACGAACCACAAATCCAGTGTCAGTGGTGTAGTTTGAGGAACCAGTAGAAGAGGCGGAGGGACGCGTGTACTGTTTCATCAGCTGTTTTTCCTCGTCGCGCTCCATCACATCTTGCATCTGGGGTTACGAAGTCAGTTGTTGGCAAGCAAGCAAATGAACAGATTGACACTAACCCAGACTCACAGAAAAATAATGTAGCCAAAACCTACAACTAGAATGCACCTACAAAACACAACACATTAACTTATAAAATTGTGCATTCCAACAACCACATAGGCTTGCTTTGTGATACAAGTGGAACCCTTCTAGAAACACACTTTGTATGCAGCACATGTATATACATGCACTTTAACCCCTGGCATAAGGAAGCCTTACTACCATGACATTTTCTTCTGTCTTGTTTTTTTTGTGTCCAAAAAAGAGTTCTACTGCATGTATACCCAGGGGATATATATCAGCTCTTAACTCACGTAATCTTCAGCCAATGTGATGAGGTGTTCTTTCGCGTCCTCTACGTTCTCCTCCAGACCCTGAATCACCACGATGCTACTGCCCTTGTCCTTAGGGAACCGGATGTCCACGTTAAAACGCTCCATAACCTGCAGAAGAACAGAAGAATAAGACATAATAGACTGCTTGATGATTATTGAGGATGAACCTTTATTCGGCACTGCACTGGACTAAACTTTTCGTACTTTTAGCAAGCAAGTGGGAAGAAGGACAGGCTAATTAACCATCCTGCATTGCTTGACTATAGCTGGAGTGTGCAGTTAGTCTGAAGGCAAAACTTCTGTAGTAAGCACATGGGTCAGTTGTCATACTTTTAGCAAGCAAGTGGGAAGGAGGACAGGCTAATTAACCATCCTGCATTGCTTGACTATAGCTGGAGTGTGCAGTTAGTCTGAAGGCAAAAACTTCTGTAGTAAGCACATGGGTCAGTTGTCGTACTTTTAGCAAGCAAGTGGGAAGGAGGACAGGCTAATTAACCATCCTGCATTGCTTGACTATAGCTGGAGTGTGCAGTTAGTCTGAAGGCAAAAACTTCTGTAGTAAGCACATGGGTCAGTTGTCGTACTTTTAGCAAGCAAGTGGGAAGGAGGACAGGCTAATTAACCATCCTGCATTGCTTGACTATAGCTGGAGTGTGCAGTTAGCAAAAACGTCTGTAGTAAGCACATGGGTCAGTTGTCGTACTTATAGCAAGTGGGGAGAAACACAGCCCAAGCAACCATGCTAAATACTTCGACTTTATGTGCAGTGAGTAGGGTGACATAACCTTTTGTAGTGAGCACGTAAAGAGAACATGACAGTCAAACCAACATCATATGTGTATTGACCATAACCAGTACTATGCTCTGGCTCAATTTATGTCAGCATAGGCTGACAATCCTCGAAAGTACTGCAACTACTCTCAGGTAAACTGAAGACAGGCAGTCACCTTGCTGATGTTCTTGCCACGGCCTCCGATCAGTCTGCTGTGTACACGACGATCGATTTCCACCTCGTCAATAATCTGCTCTTCCTGAAGAGAGAGAACGAGAGGAAATCGTCACTTCAGACAGAAGTAATAAAATAGAGAGATAAGTGCAGAAATATGTGAGAGGTATAAGTAGTCGTTTGGGTGTGACACCACGGGGCAAACAGAGAGAAGAAAGAGAAAAAAGATAGACAAAGCAAGGAAGATAGAAAATCAACCAGGCATTTGGGTTATTTGAATCTTTATACTATAAAGCCAGTATGGGATAACTTACCTAACTGGGCGAAAAAATTTTCCTAAGTTGGTATTGTACACCTGTACACATTAGCATGTCAACCAACAATGGAGTAAGATGAGAGTTGAGTAAGAGTACAGACTAAGGGACTCCGAAATATCCATTGTTCCTGGAGAGCTGAACTACCAAATTCTCCCCTGGTACACATTAGTACTACCATGGTTACAACTGTGCTGCATAATGCCCACCAGATGGTGTGTAGGTGTATAAATTATTACTGCGCCCACCACCTATTTGTTTGTGTGTCATTCCTGCTCTAATAGACACATTAGGTACACAACCATAGCAAGAAGGAGGATGTCTGACTTTGGAGTATACAAGCCCCCAGGCTGTAACATATGTAACACAGGTGTGGCATATCTAAGGCTACCTCACCCTATATCATGGTGGAACAAGGTATTAAAGCAAGGATATAATTATCATGGTGGAACAACTCCAGGGCTATGGATATCTCACATGCAGGAAGAGACATTAGTAAGACAGATTCCTATATTATGGTGGAACAAGGTATTAAAGCAAGGATATAATTATCATGGTGGAACAACTCCAGGGCTATGGATATCTCACATGCAGGAAGAGACATTAGTAAGACAGATTCTATATTATGGTGGAACAAGGTGTTAAAGCTAATTATCATGGTGGAACAAGCTGTTCTCCAGGGCTATAAATACACACACAAAAGCCAAGGATGCAGGAAGAGACATCCTGATTGTCTGCCAGGATCTGACTTTCCTGCATGCGACCACAACATCCCCAACTGTTGGGGAGATATCCCCTCATCCACTCCATTCCCTCATTTACACCATTCAGTCCACATGTGGTCGTCATTAGCTACCTCCCCTACTTCCTCCATTCCAAACCTACGTACAGACACACTCTGTTTCTCTGGTTGTTACCGCCACCTCCTTTCGGGATTTCCGGCTTATAGACAGCGGGCGATAAACTACACGAGAGAAACACTATGTTCCGTCTGTAGTTGAATCTCTACTGTGGCTACGAGTCAGAACCGAGCCACAAAATCTCCCAGTCAAAAGCAGGTCTTCCCATACTGCCAGCAATGACGGCTCCCTTTCTTGTAATATACTAGCTATGTATATATGTACGTACTTCTGCATGGTAAAACAGGCGTCACATTCATGAATGTGTGTCTCAGCCTCCACCGAGTGCTCTGGAGTGCGTGGTCGATGACAGTGTTGCTGTAGCTGTAGCCCTCACAAGCACCATGCAGTGAAACATCTGAATAAAGGACACCTCTCAAGGACACTTGGTTCTGCTCCATACTATAATATTACCTTTGAGTAAGCGACACCACTAAAAGATAGACATTCCTGATGTATCCCTTGTCAGCTGTTTCACACGTAGTCTGAAACACAAGGACGGCAAGGTACTCACCAGTTCATGGACGATCTTCAAAATGTCAGCCTCAGCAGCCTTCACCTGGTGTTCATAGCCAATGATGGTTATCTCGTCCGCGGCCCCAGAACCGTCCCGCTCGGGAAGCTGTATCCTGACGTCGTGCGTCTCGCGGATTTTGTTGATCTTTGCTCCTTTCTTTCCGATGATGTTTGGATGGTAGCGCGGCTCCACTGTCACCGTAACACGGAAGTTACGCAGCTCCTGCACGCAACAAAAACTTTTTCAAACTTTAAAAAAATCTTGTGTGCATCTCTTCTCCCCTACTTCTGATTATTACATCATCGTTCCCTATATATTACACCTTTGGCTCGTGTGTATAAATTATACAGCATTGTACAGCTCGTCTATATAGCTACTGTGATCCCATGAGTATTATTGTGTACTCTATGATGTTTATTCTCATGCTGATGCTTTTGGGTTGTGAAATGGAGTGATTGACGTTCGCGTTCTCTAAAAATGGCTGCACATGTGAATAAACAGGACGAGTTGTGCGCGTGGAGCAAATAGTCTACGTGACGCATATTTGGAAAGAATGTCGTAAGGAATGCTAACTATTGCCACGTCCACGCAAATTCTCATACGCCATTGGGGAACTGGATACACTATCGTATTATTCTATTCTATACACGTCTCTTCCTCCACTACTGACATGGATGGTGTGACTCAACGGCCACCCAGACCCTCGACTACTTGTGTACATTCCAGAGTCGGTCGCCGCGGCAACCGTTAACCAATTAGCCACGTTACACAAGAGTATATCCTAGCAGTATAAGATGGCCGCTAAATACCCAGAGGGTACAATCTGTGGGTGAAGCGTGCCATAATGTACTTGTTGTCTGATTATCTGTATGTATATGAAAGTTGTACATTGGACAATTTCCGAGAACAAAAAACAGTTGCGTTTCATACCAAGTCGTTAAATGGTCACGCTGAATGCACAGCTTTTGCTCATCAAATGCATGTATTTGTATGTAGCTGGGTGCAGTTGACTTGTTTGCCTTGCCTTGCCTTTCCACCCCTACACCAAGTTGTTGAGACATGTATTTGCGTGAACCAAATAGTTACAGTACATGTCTCAACAACTTGGTAACGAGGTAGAAAGGCAAGGCAAGGCAAACAAGTCAACTACACCCAGGACAGCTCTTTCTTTTCAAAGAAAAGAAGAAGAGTTGCCCTAGGTGGGATTCGAACCCACGACACTCTGCAGTCTATAGGTGAGCGCTCTACCAACTGGGCTACCATGGCAACATATACAGGTGTCTGACCCTCTCCTCTTTCTCGGCCTCCAGTTCCTGTAATTTCCTTTCCAGTGCCCTTTTGGCGTCCTCACAGTTCTTGGCAGGTCCTGTATGTATGCATAATAATATACCACACACAATATATACGTTTATCAGCAAGAAACCCTTCAAATCATCTAATGTTGTATGCTTGTAGGGGGCGCAGTCTTAGCTTCGGACGAGGTGGTCGGGGGGAGGGGCCGCAGGGTTGCGGTCCCTAGGTATTTCACGTTCTTCTAGTCAGCGACCGGTCGGGAGGGGTCGGCCGCTCCTTTCCGGATGAGGCGTCGCGACGTAATGCTTTGTCACTGTCTATAAACGTAATGCTTATTTGCCCACCATATCACTACATAATAGTCAGACAGTGAGTCTGTGAATTCTACAAAAACGTGAATTATAAAGCCACGAAATTCAGCGTGAGTGAGCTCCGATAATAAATACACTCATAGTAACATATGCTACTAGCTTTTCTGTCTGTCTGTCTGTTGTATAGTTATCTAAATTGCCAAACTGAGACATTGTCTTGAAACCGTTGAGAGTGAGCAATGGTATGGAATGGAAACCAATGGAACTGAACCGAGACTGTTGCGGTACGGAATGGGGACGTACCACTGACAACGATGATGTCACTCTGTTGGTCTGACGGGGGGACGGCGATGTTTACAGAGCATTCCCTCATTAGACTTCGAACCTCTTTGCCCTGTTGACCGATGATGTAGCGATGGAACGCGAACGGAACAGAAACTTCAACATCGATGGGTATGAGTTCCTGGGGAAAAGAAAGAGAGAGACAGTGGGTGAGGATGGAAGAGAAGGAAGGAGAAGGGTAGGGAGGGAAGGAAGAAGAAATGGGGA